GATACAGGAAACGGGTCCCGACCGCAATTTGGTCGAGCGGCTTGGGCAATCCTCGCATATTCATCATGTGCATGCGCACCAGACCAACAACCGACTCCCGCCCATTTCGGATGTCTTTCCAGAACCGCTGGGAACTGGCCGAAATCACTACAACAATAACAACAATAGTAGCCCAGGCCACTCTTCCCATTCCAACGTGCAACCTCCCATGCCCTCGCCAGGTTTCCCGCCGCCACAATTTCAGCAGCCCCTGCCAACATCAAGACCTCGAGAGTACAAGTCGGCCGAAGAAGCTGTCCAGTCAATGTCTGGTGGTCGTGAAGACCTGTTGCCACGTCTGGTCCATTACGGTGGTCACCAACCGCCTACACCGCCCTCGCCCATGTCCAAGCAGGGCCAATCATCAGCGTATCCGCACCCTGAGCAACAACACCACAGTGGTAGCGCACGAAGACGTGGACGCGACGAGTATGAAATGGACAATGGCACACCGCCACTCGGCCGCCAGCAAGCAAGAGCAGGGCCCTTTGGAGCCAGACGTGACTCACCCGAGACGCAATTGAAGAAGAAGGAGGAATTCATTGGACTGTGTGCAAGAGCTTGGGATTTGTTCCATTCGTAATACCAGGCCTCGGCTACTTCGACTCGCGCAATATTCGTGCTCCATCTCATTTAGCGGCGCAAATCTGGATGGATCCTGGTTTCATTGGACGGCACTCTTGTTCGAATTTACTCGTTTCCCTGGCTCCATTGGACAGTCCTTTATTTTTCGGGATTAACTCGTTTCACCTTGTTTCGATTCAACGGGCTCTGGAGAACCGCTCATTATTACCCGTGCCACCAGGCTTAAGCGTACCTTTTTTTTTCAACACTTTTATACGTTTCGCAAAATCGCGGGTACTTAATTGGAGACGCAAGGATTACCTCTTTTTATCTCGGTACATATCAGCTACGCCACCTGCTTCGTTCTCTTTAACCTTCTATTCTCGGCCCTGTCCTGATGAGGGGGGCCGAGAAGCTAGTTTGGATGCTGTTACGTGGCAGAAACGTAGCGGCGGACGTCTTGAAACACATCATGTATCATGATCATGTTTACCTTGTCTTTTACTTATTTCTATGATCTTAGGGGGCGTTTGGAGCGACACTCTTCCTGTATCGCAATGCAATTTTTTCCTGTAATTCCGCACTCTGGGATTCTTTTTTTTTGTCATCTCCGGTAGGCAAGTGGAGGATGATACCTTTTTTTTTGGCTTGTTCTTGTGGGAGGATTTGGGTGCGGCGGCGGTGGTAAGAGCGGCTGCAGGAGCCCTGGTGGGGGTGGGTCTTGGTTTGGGTCTCGTGGTGGGACACGGCCCGGGAAGAGGACCGTTTCGGGCAAAGGCAGGACCCGAGGTACTTTGTCTAGTAGGGAACAGAAAAAAAATTACAATGGAGTACTCTGCAGTGCAGTTTTTCTTTTTGGAGATTTGGGGTCCCTTTTAGTCTTGATGCGCGAATGGGTCTATTGTTCAATGTTGGTTTGAGGGGGGTGGGAGAATGGAGAATGCAAAATTATCTTGTTCATTGACAGATGAGTGTGTTTTGGTGGGTTGATTGACTAACGAACTCGATTGATCTTCTTTTTTCCTATTTCGGGTCAACACGCGGTATCTGTTCAGAATCCAAGGTTCTGTCTATCTACCTGCCTGTCCGTCTGTCTGTCTATATCATGCCCAAGTTCCTACTTGGGACGGCTTGATTTGTTCATGTTTTCTTTGTTCTTCCTTTCTTTTTGTGACAAAACAAGTGTGATTATCTTGTGTTGGGGATGGGTATGGATGTGTATGTGGAGGTTTGCTAGGGTGGATAGTAGAGGATAGTGTAGATTGATGGTCAATATACTATACTTGGTCTATGTAACGGGAGATGCAGCGTGCTCATGTGCGACGTTGGTCGTTTGGTGTGGTCTGGACTTTGGAATTGTCGGGCTACTGGTGTAGATTTTGGTGGAAGTAGATTTGGGAAAGGGGAGTGCGTGGGTA